TCTTTCCAAACATACCGCTAGGTGTCGTCCTTACACTGTAGGCCTGTGACAGGTCCCACAATGCACCTCACTCAACTTTGACCTGCCCCATTGCATGACGGGAAACAAAATGGCGGCGCCCATAAAATCCAGGTAAAATAGAACAGGTTTGCGATAAAATATTTACTCCGACTTTTTCGGCCATTTCTTCTATGTCAGGGCACAGCCCACTAATTCCAGCCCCTATTGGAATATATAGAAAACATCTAACAACTGAGCTGTCAACAATCACCTACTTGAGTGTTCAACTATTGCAAACACACACTGACAGGGTAGTCCAACTTCCAAATTGTCCATTTAGTCCAAAAATTTAACTTTTTGACCAGCGGTACTAGCACGGCAAATCCAAACACTGGCAGCATGACCTCTGACCCCCATGAAGACCACCAAAAGACAAGAAGATGGGATTAGTTTTAGAACTCTACCAAGCAGCCAAAACAACACTAACGGCCAGTTTTTTCAAGTTAGTAGAAATAGAAATAACTCCCCAGCTGGAAAATGCCAGCATTTATCCACACATACCAAGAAAAAGGCTGTTTTCAGTTGGTTTGGATGCGGTTATCAAAGGGGTCTCAGGCTGGGCCCTCTGGGCATGCGCCAATTGGTGACCTTTGCCCTCATATTTAAGCATGATATGCATCATACTTGTTGCTGGACACGGAATTCTTTTGGAAAAAGAAATAAAGGTAATTCTGAAGACTTTTTAAGCTAGTTCTTTTTCGCTTTGTCAATATTTGAGCTGTTCCGCTTTAGTTTGACAGGATGTTAAAAGTTTGTTTATGTCTGGGCCACGTAAATGAGTTCCATATGGTCGGCTGATAGCGGAAAGTTTCCTATGTGAAAATGATCTGTGTTAAGGTCTCATTCTTGAGTTTTTGTTAACTATGGCCGCCTATGGCAAAATACGTAACTTTACATAGGCCAAAACCCAATAATTTGAATGACAGCCATCTAGTCTATCCGATCAATTTTGAGCACAATGGCCCTACATTACGTCAAAAAATTCCCAACCAGATCTAACCCAACAATCTCTTTTTATTTATTTATAAACTGCACTTGGCCACTCTCCGCCAGAGGTCCTCCAGCGCTGCTACCTCCTGACCGCATTACCCATCACAACAGCGTGTAAACATCCGACCTGTCGCGCGGATGTCAACACTTACCCACTAATTTTAGCACATACAAACAACCTCTCATATCACAAGCGGTTTACGCCAACTGACTTAGCTAAAATGCAATTTCTGGCGGATATAAACACACATCCATACACGCATTTAATTTTTAGTACGATCTACTTTAGAGTACCCACGCGGAAGAATACCGAAATGAGACCTTATACTAGTGGCTGGACATAGACACTTGGCAGATCTAGAACTTAGCTGTGAGGTAAGGGAGAATCTGTAGCCTCTACCAGGCTTCGGGAGGAGGATGGAAAGAGTAGAAATTGGCCCAATAGAGAGAGATAGCATGCGGGGTGAGTTGCACCGCTAAGAGTACAGTGACGTGCACCCGTACTCTCCAGCAGACCAACTCCCTCGGCATGTTATCTCTCTCTATTTGGCCAATTTCTACCTTCTCCAGTCGCCTCCCGAAGCCTGGTAGAGGCTAGAGAATCACCGCAGTGCTGGAGTTGATATAATGTGTGGAGCTGGCTGGAAGTCTAAAATGTCTGGTTTCTTGTTCCAGAAGGATTCGTCAGGCAGATACCCAAACCTACAGTCACTGTGGTACTTAGTAGTTATAGGAATTTCCCTATGATCATATAGTACAGTTCCAAAACATGGACTGATGCACCAAACACTCAAATCTGCAATTTCTGATTTCTTGTTCCAGAAGGATTCGTCGGGAAGATACACCAACCTACAGGGTGTCCCGAAGGCCCTCCTGCCTGGGGTGGGGGGCAGGAAGATCCTCACCTTCTGGTGGGACGCTCTCAACACGTGAGTTAACTGCAACACTTCTGATATGAAATGAAATACACCTTTATTGTACCTTTATTGTACCTTTATTGTACATACATGCCACGACGGGCTAGGTACAGGTCAAGACCCTAGGAGAAGGAAATGTGTCCCTAGCTAGCAAGTAGCATTAGCCAATAAACCCCATGGTTATATGGATGCAAAATGTTTTTATTTCTCAGTGTGTCTGGTTTATATGACATTGTGTTTGTTTTGCAGGAGGCAGCTGTTTAGCGATGTGTACCTGGTGACAAATGCAGACAAGTAAGTCAGCAATCCTGGAGTTTGTGCTGTAATTATAGAGAGAAAGAATGTAAAAAAAGATCCAGAGATTTCTCCACTGACTTATTAGATAGTAAAAGATTGGAATGAATAAATGAATGAATGAATGAATGAATGAATGAATGAATGAATGAATGAATGAATGAATGAATGGATGAATGAATGAATGAATGAATGAATCAGTCAATTAACAATTAGTTTTTCCTTTCTCTATATTGATTGAACTTAATGTATCAATAAATACATGCATGGATGAAAAAGATTGAATGAATGAATGAATGACTAAATGAATGAAGAAAGGAAGGAAGAAAGAAAGGAAAAAGGAATGAATGAATGAATATGCAAACAGACGAATAATCTATTTTGACCCTCCCCCAGGTACAAGCACTTTGAGCGACTGCACACGACTTTCTGGTAAATGAATGAATGGATGGATGGATGAATGAATGAATAAATGAATGAACTAATGAACGAATTAATGAATGTGCAAACAGACAAATTTACAATTTTGACCCTCCCCCAGGTACAAGCACTTTGAGCGCTGGGCGACTGCACACGACTTTCCGGTGGAGAATATCGTGAACGACGGTTCAACAACGTTTGAGACGCGACTCGGTTCCGTGGCAGACTTCGAGCTCGTTCTACGCAACAAACGGGTCAACGATGATGTCATGGTGGTACGTGGTGTATATTGTTTGTTTGTTTGTTTGTTTATTTGTTTGGCTGTATAAGTATTTTAAGTAATGATAATATGTATTATTGCTGGCAGGTTGCAGGAGACATGTTGTTCCAGGACCAGAAGTTTGACCTCTCACAAGTCCTGGACTACTTTAAACTCAAGGTGAGTTATATATGAGTTATTTAAACTCAAGGTGAGTGACCAGTTTGCAGAGGAAATTAGTCCAACTCCTGCATATCTTTGACAAATGATGAATAAACCATGCTTCTGTGATGTAATGTTACACAAATACAACATTCTGGAATTTTTGGTCCAGTTTTTATCTTGTGTGCTATCTGCCAACATGAATAAACAAACAAGATGTGTTATAGTTTTATTAATTAACATATTCATTTTTTATTTTATTTTCAAAGATTTTTATCTATTCAACGTTGTATTCATTACAGGATGGAGAGCTGGCGATCTACTACGAGATGGAGCCATCCGAGAAAACAGAGTCACGGGGGATAGTGGAGGTGGAGAAAACCACTAACAGGTAGGGTTTTTTTAGGAATCAGCTGCTTTCTTTGAATTTAGAGAGAGATTTTCAGAGTCTAACAGA